GAAAGCTTATGTTTTGTGGAGGTCGGCTTGTGTTAATGAATTCAACATAACCTAGTATGTTGATGTTCCTGTTATCTTTCTTTGAAGTACCTATGGGGTGCCGAAAAGGTTAGATTTTTATCGATCTCGTTTCTTCTGGCACTGTGATGAAGTAAATACGAAATACAGATTGACCAGGTGGGAAAATACAGATTGACCAGGTGGGATATTATTTGCAGACCCAAAGACCAAGGGGGTCTTTGGATTGAGAACCTGAAGATCAAAAACAAATGCTTGTTCAGCAAATGGCTATTTAGGTTATCGGTTGTGACCGAAGGTATGTGGGCACAGATCCTATGTAACAAATACCTACAATCAAAGTATGTGTCCAATGTTACCGCCAGACCTAATGACTCACCGTTTTGGAAGGGGCTAATGCGGACCAAGGATGTTTTTTTTTTTGCAGAGCGAAGTTTGTTGTTGGAAATGGTAAAACAACCAGATTTTGGGAAGATACATGCATGGTTAGGGGAGACGCCTTTGGCCTATCAATATCCACTCTGTATAATATTGTACAACGTAATGAGATTTACATTGCTGCAGTATTACAGCCGTCCCCATTGAACATCCAGTTCAACATCCAGTTCAGGAGGTCCCTTGTGGAAGAGTGGTGGAGCTCATGGTTGCATCTTGTGCGAAGATTGATTGATGTTCAACTTTCTGATCTGCCTGACTCGTTTCACTAGAAATTAACTAGGAACGATGTTTTCATGGTAAAATCTATGTACTTGGATCTAATTAATTCTGGTCCAATCCCGAGATATATTCATATTTGGAAAATTAAAGTTCCGCTGAGAATCAAGATATTCATGTGGTTCGTTCACAAGCAAGTGATACTCACCAAAGATAACCTTCTTAAGTATAGTTGGGTAGGTAGTTCACGTTGTTGTTTTTGTGATAATGATTAAACAATACAACATCTCTTCATGGATTGCCCTCTATCTAAGCTTCTTTGGCTTACGATTCATATAGCCTTTAACATCAGCCCCTCTAGTTAGTATCAACATGTTATTTGGGACGTGGCTTATTGGAGTGGAGCCAGTTACTGTGGGACGTATTCGGATAGGAATATGTGCACTTCTTTGGGCTATATGAAATTGCAGGAATGATATGATATTTAACAGACAGAATCTTATGAATTTCTTGTAGGTTATCTACAGAGCTTCCGCTTGGACCCATACGTGGCCATTAATCACGCATACGAACTCTAGAGAGCTTTTGGTTACTGGGTACAACCGATGGGAGACGCTCACACCGGCTATCTACAACGCGGTTTGGATGGTGGTCCAATAATAAGATATATGTTTAGTCGTCTTGTCATGTTCTTTGCCGGTTGTGGCTTTGTTTATTTTATTTGCTTTTTGTGCTCCTTTTGCGAGCTGTACTATACTACGGACCTTGGTTTTTTTTGGATTTTAATAAAATGGCCGCATACATCATTTTCATGCAGAGGTCGGAGGTCTTACTCCTTTAAAAAACACTTTCTAGACGCCTTCATATCACCCGTGTGGGTGACGCGAGGCCTGAAATGTTTCGTTCTAGTTTAAGATTGAGAAAGTAACCACAAGAGCCTTTCCATTGACGGGAACATCACCTCCCATTGAAAAGATAATCCACATTACAGAGACATTAAAGTGTATCCCTAGTGGGTTTAGGGTACCACCACCCTCCTAACCATTTGACCACTAGTTAGTTCTCACTAATCATGCCCGCAAAAAAAGTTCTCACTAATCCACCTGCTTATTTAACCTTTTTTAGTGTACCTTCTTTGTTTACAGAAAGATAATTTTATGTCTGCCCAAACGCCCACTACTAGGGAAACCCTAGTAGTAGCGCGGGTTTTGAGGCTAGCAGCAGCGCGGGCAACCGCGCTACTACTACGGCGCTACACGAACTGTTAGTAGTAGCGCGGTACGCACCCGCGCTACTACTGTTGACTATATCAGTAGCGCTTTTGTGGAATGTGCTACTATTAGTTAGCTATATCGATTTCCTAGCCCCTCACTACTATTAGATCTTTCATCATTTTCCCCAGCTTCCTACCCCGTTTCGGTTTCAATAAACTGCAATTTCCAGATACTACTACTAGATATCAATTTCATAAAGCATTATAGGTACTAGGTAGTACTCCCTCCGTTCCAAATCGCTCGTCGTGGTTTTAGTTCAAACCACGACGAGTAATTTGAAACGGAGGGAGTACTACACTACTGGAATCTGGAACTTTGCCATCTGCCATGGCAGATGGCAAAGGCATGGTCGGCGGATGGCAAGGGCTTTGCCATCTGCCAGCAGATGGCAAACAGTTTGTCTGAAAGCCTGCCGGTAAAGGCTTCTTTGCCGTCCACTGGCTGAGGGCAAAGAGCCTGTGCCTTTGCCATCAGCTGGCAGATGGCAAAGCCTCTTAACGGGGTTAGCCCCGTTAGAAGCGGCATACTTTGCCGTCTGCCAGCAGATGGCAAAGACTGCATGCTCTTTGCCATCTGCCAGCAGATGGCAAAGGCTGCATGCTTTGCCGTCTGCTGGCTGATGGCAAAGAGCACAAATAGGCCAGCCCAAATTTTACATGTAGATGACACGTGGCCTCTTTGCCATCTGCCAGCTGATGGCAAAGCTCTTTGCCATCTACCAGCAGATGGCAAAGTGCCTATATTGCCCCATTTAATTTTGTTTTTTCTTATATTAATTCATTTTCACAGAAAATCAAACACAAATATATTTATATGACCAATATAGCATATTCAACATATATTACCAATAGTCATGAACACATATATATCCAACACATGTTACCAATAGTAGCAAGTTTCATCCATTCATATACATAGTTTCATCAATATTACACAGTTTCATCCATAGGTAGCAAGTTTCACAAGGTCAAAACAAAAACTAAATACAAGCACTCCATCAACCCAAGCTTCCGTGATCTTTAGCAAATCTGTAAAATGGGAAAGAAGAAAGTTAGAAGAAGAAGACTAGAAGAAGAAGATTATTATGATGCAACTAAAATGTGAAGATTATTATCATGCAACTTATATCTGTAAAATATGTCATTTTGGAGCTAAGTATGGTTATTATGTCATTTTCGAGCTAGCTAAGCATACTAAGTCATTTTGGTGTAAAACATGCTAAGGTCATTTTAGAGCTAAGTAAGGTTATTATGTCATTTTGGAGCTAGCTAAGCACGTGAAGTCATTTAGGAGCTAAAATATGTCATTTCTTAAGTATATTATGTCATTTTAGAGTTAGCTAAGCATATTGAGTCATTTTGGAGGAAAAGATGCTAAGTATAGGTCATTTTAGAGCTATCCTAGGTTAAATAGGTCATTTTTAAGCTAGCTAAGCATATTAAGTCATTTTGGAGGAAAAAATGCTAGGTATAGGTCATTTTAGAGCTATCCTAGGTTAAACTAGCACATGTGCCCGTGTGTTGCAATGGGAGATAAACATTTAGTGTCTCCAGAGCACCTGATATACGTCACATAAACTATCTCAACTGAAAGTGCATTTCTTTTACAAAATAATGAAATGTGATCTATCTTACTCTCTTGAATCATCATTCACTTTGAGTTGAACTATGTATAAGTGTAGGTAAACTGTTTGAAACAATGAAAATGTTGTCTGATGCTGAATTGTTCTTGCTGAAGTAAAGTCAATGCTTTTTGAACAAACAATAGCTGATGATTTCTGCTATACGTTGGGCACAAGCAACAATTGTCCCATCTCTCTCCTGTGAGCCGTCTCCCACTTTTGGCACCAGTTTTTGGTTGAAAAAAAAAAACTAACACAAAGACCATTACATCCGAATATCCATTTCTGAGCCCGGACTCGTCGGCACCCGATGAAAAGTAAACTAAAAAATACTAAAGAATTAAAAGAACCAAGTTTTCTTTCCATGGAAGATGCTTTAGTGCATGAGATCCTTGCCAATTTTCAGTGCGGTCGGACATCTAATTAGCTCTCAGAAAAAAAATCGGTCCGAGCAGTACATGAACAATACACGGTTTCACAGACCTCAAATTTTTCTTTTTTTCCTGAGAGCTACTCTGATGTACAAACGCGTTGAAAATTGGCATGGACCTCATGCACTGAAACATCTTCTATGAAAAAAAATCAGTTTTTTTTGGGAATTTTTCAACATTTTTTAGTGTTCATGGTGGGAGCAGATGAGCTCGGTTACTGTTTTGAGACAATACTCCATATTGTTCATCCATATGCTGACTTACACAATATAATCATATAAAGAAGAAAGCTTGATGATGAATTATACCAACAAAACCTGGAGATAAAGTAAGCGCAATCTTGACCAAACATATACTGGAAATGAAAACCCAAATCAGTTACGACTGAGGTTACTTTTCTGTTACCATGAGAACAAAAATAATTTGTATTATTCAGTAATCAAAACAATTTCCTATTATTTATTATTCAAAAAGGTCATCAACACAATTCTCTGCCTGTGGATGAAGAAGTTTTTTATCATCAGTCTACAAACTAAACCAAACATAATTCTTTTATAGCGGGGCAACCAGAAAAGTATAATACATTACTTGTGGTAGTTTTGTCTTTTTTTCCTGAGAGCTACTGAGATGTACAAACGCGTTGAAAGTTGGTATGGACCTCATGCACTGAAACATCTTCTATGAAAAAAAATCAGTTTTTTCTGAATTTTTCTAATATTTTTTTTACTGTTCATGACGGGAGCAGATGAGCTCGGTTACTGTTCTGAGACATACTCCATATTCTTCATCCATATGCTGACTTAAAAAATACAATCATATAAAAAAGAAAGCTTGATGATGCATTATGCCAACAAAACCTGGAGATAAAGTAGGCGCAATCTTGACAATACATATACTAAAAATGAAAACTCAAATCAGTTACGACTGAGGTTACTTTTCTGTTACCATGAGAACAAAGATAATTTGTATTATTCAGTAATCAAAACTATTTTCTATTATTTATTATTCAAAAAATTCATCAAAACAATTCTCTGCCTGTGGATGAAGAAGTTTTTTATGATATCAGTCTACAAACTAAACCAAACATAATTCTTTTCTAGTGGGGCAACCAGAGAAGTATAATACATTACTTGTGGTAGTGGTAGCCGCAGAAGGATGCCATGAACAGATGGATCTCCATTCAATCTTGATGTTGAATCCACCACCTCGTCTTTTGTGCAGTTCTGAGGCAACTCCGACAACAAAGATTTTATCCCGACTTCCTCGCAACCCTTCACTATAAATCGCACATGGGATTGAGAGTCCCCTCTATCGCCTACCAACACAATAGCTAATCCAGGAACATGTGCAACTTCCTTTTTCATTCGACGAAATTCTTCAGCAATCTGTAACTTTATGTCCTCTGCAATTGACTTGCCATCAATAATGGTGCCCTGGATGCGCAATCAACTATTTAAGGAATAATACAAACAACGACTGGGCAGGCAACTACATGCTGATTGATAATTCAAATTGTTATAAGCTAGAAAATCATCTATTCAGTAGCAGTAGGGAACATACTGATAGTTCGGACCACCATATGTTTAAAATGTGCATTATTCGCCCTCACTTCAGGTCGTCTAAACCTTGTAGCAAGTCCAGATACATTGGTTCATCATTGTGGCACTGCCCTGACCTTGTAAAATAATTTTCTACTTTCATGACTCATAACTCACGACTGTGAAAGGTAAAACCAGTATATGGCACTCCTTTCAATGCATTCAGAGAGAAAGGGGGCGAGAGTACCTATCCCCCAGTATTAACCAAATAAATCTGTAGTAAGATATCCTCTAATAACATACTAACTTGACAACTAACTAATGTACATGGACACAAAACACACTCTTCACACAAAAATCTTTTTCCTGGACCATTCAAAGTGTATTTGAAAGACATACATATCAGTGGACTCCCACGTCCTTATGTATCTTAAATTTTTGAAGCATAAGATGCGGTTGTACCTGCTTTTGTTAGACAGCTCCAGTTTCATCTGTATTTTGGATCTGATTGTAAACTCCATATGCATCAGCCTAGTAAAGGCATATGGGTGATTGGTTCATATCTCCAGACCTGATAAACACAAGCGGTGAAAGGATGAGAAAATTGTGAATCAACCAAACATTTGTGCAGTTGGCTTATAAATAAATTGGACGACATATATTTGAACAATTTGGCTAACCCATAAAACTGACAAATCTAAGCTGGAACTGCAAGCTAAGCTGAGACAATCAAAAGTTTGAAGATGAACTGATGAAGGTATAGTAACCACTTGAGTAAGAAAAGAATAAAGCAACAGGGACAACAACGATGCCGCTCTACAATCGTATCTCTAGTTCCATTCCCCTAGCTTGCCCTCTCATCTCCTCGCACATCAACCAGAACATCTGACCAAGATCAGAGAGAAGCAGTGGTGGGAGGGCGATGCAAGGTGATGAGCTGCGGCACGATCGATCAGGTGTCGCTGTACTGACGGTGAGGGAGCTCCACGGTGAAACCACCAGCCGTACCTTGATAAGGACCTGAAGAAGCCTTTGGTTCGGGGTCCGGAGAAGAATACATGTGCATGGAAGGCGGAGCACAGGGTGGTGTTTGCTCTTTTGCGATTTATTGCCTTGTGGCAAGGGATCGAGAAGGATGCGAAACCACTGACCACAACAAAGGATAACAAAGAAATCAGCCATCAACTTGCCGCCGCCGATCATGTCCCATGTTGGGTGTCCCATGGTGCCCAGCGCAGCTGCCGTCCCCCTTATCCTCTCCAACAACTGAACCCCGCGATGGCCAGCCGCTATCCCACTCCTGCTTCCGAACAGCCGCCGTCGCGCTCCTGCTCCCGAACGGCCGTTGTTGCTGGACTATGCTCCAAGTCACCGCCGCCGCCGCCTGACTGCTCTCTCCTCGTCAACCCCCTCCCACTCAATCTCGATCTAGAAGCCCCCCTGAACTCAATCCACCAATGGGAGAACATCTCTCACAGATTTTGCCACCGATCCTTGAGAAAAGGACAGCATAATGATTTGGCGGAGATCCTCAATGTGGTGGGGTGGTAGGCAGTGGCGGAGCTAGCATTTTATAACAGGGTGGTCCATCCTCGTCGGGGACGAATTTCTGGAATTCTCATGAGGGATGCTTCTTCTATATCAATAAATCCGTGGGTGCTAGTGCCCATGGAGTTTCATTTTTTTTTAACAGGGTGGTCCATCCTAATTTTTTTTAAACAAAAGGACATGTGAATGTTCTAACTAATTATCAATATCACATAGAAATAGATCGATATGATCTTACAAACACACTAAAATTCTCAATATGATCTTACAAACACACTAAAATTCTCAATATGATCTTACAAACACACTAAAATTCTCAATATGATCTTACGAACACACTAAAATAACATCAAAGCTAATTGAGGCAGAAATGATGTGCAAAATTATATGTGTTGATGTACTGGATACCAAAGTGCAAAAAAAAACTAACACTAAATCAGAAATTGGGGTATTTTAGTTCCTTAAATCGGGTTGCTCTTGCTCACTTGCCCGCTTGCTGCCGCCGGGGACTGGTCACTGGTGACTGAGAGGGAGGGCAGCGACTGCCGCCGGCTTTGCAGGGAGGCAGGGCGGGGTAGGGCAGGGGCGCCAGGAGGTCGGGGAAGGGGCGCAGCCAAGCCCGCGCAGGGCAGGAGCAGGGGCGCACGCAGGGGAGCGCGTCCGCGCGGCTGGA